TTTTGTAAGAAAATATTATAAAGAACTAACGAATTGAAGAGTATACATTTGTTAGAATGTAACAAATAAATTAATATGTGAGATAAACTCTTCAACTAGATAACTTATTAAGAATACTTCGTAATAGCATCATTTAAAATATTTCTCCTCTTTTCAATTATCTTCTTCATTATGACGAGATTTGCTTCCAAACAAATATGAAAACAAATGTTAATCATATAAGAATAAAAATGGTGATATTAAGGATATAATCTAATAAAATGAATATAACTTGGATTATGCGGAGATTTCAAAATGATAACAAAACTTAATTGTTTTCATATTTATCTAAACGAGTATTATCTTTTAATTTGAAATTAAAATAAATTGAAAAATATTGTTTGGTTTATACATTTCAAATTAATATTTTGCCAATCATATCTAACTATAGTTGTATTTAATCAATATTAATTTATTTATATATTAAAAAAAACTAAATTCTCATTGTTTCCCATATGTTTTGGCATATACTTTTATTTTTATATATTAAACTTCCTTTACTATATATATGAATCATATTATGTTCTATACTATGAATATAACTTAAGTTTAATATATATAAGGGTCAAAATTTTCATTTTTTATATAGTTTACGGGCAAAAATTCATTTGTTATATGTACTGGAATAATTTAATTTTCTTTTAAAGTGTTAATTTTCTACAGGTCAAAAAATATTTAGCAAGTTACAAACGGTTGAACAAATAGATTTTTCATTTCTATTATGAACTAACAAACGGGTTAATAGTATTATTAACATAAAACAATTTTGCACTATCAAAGTACGGGTCAAAATCTAGACTAATATATTGGAAACATATATATGTGTCAAACTCGACTGTCTTAAACTAGGATTGTGCCATTGAAATAAATATATTTAATATTTAATTTATTAAATGTAGTTAATATTTAGGAACACTATTTTCCTCCCTATTAATTAACCTAACAAATACTATTTTTTATTAAATGCATCTTTGATTGAAAGCATATATTCTTATTTGGAGTATTTATTTTAGAAGGTGAATCTTTGTTTATCAAGTAACAATAAATATTTCACATCATAAAATGAAGTTCTTATAATTAAACTTCTTAATTTTTTGGTTACAATTAAAATCAAATAAATACACCAAATTTATGATTCTTTCAATATATATATATATATATATATATATATATATGTGTGTGTGTGTGTGTGTGTGTGTGTGTGTGTGTGTGTGTATGTGTGTGTTGTTAACTAATTAAAATTTTATGCATAAAATCTTTTTTGAATGTAAAAGTTCGAAATGAATATGTGAACCTATTTTTAATATACATAAAACCATATCTAACATATTCCTTCTACATCACGGTTTCTACTAAGTAAATAATAGCGATCATAAAAAAAATAAAATTTAAGTCTAAATTAAAAATAAAACCAGTAATAAATTATCAATAATAAAAACTAAATAATACTGAAAAACGAGTAAAATATTTTGGTGTTCTCTATCGCCTTTCTCCTTTTTTTTATCAGACAACATAGTACTTCTTTTAGTAAAGAATCACAAATCAAATATACTATTCAATTTCATGTACTCATTTTAAAATATATAAAATTTGGATCAATTTTTTTAGATCACCAATTTTATCTTAGTTTTACTCGGGTCAATCAATGCTAGGTGACATGTTATTAACGGATTTTGGATTCTTACCAAGTTTTATCAAAATTTTAAATAGCGGTGAATTAGTTAAATTCGAACTGAAATATATACATATCTACTAAGTTTAGTTGCTAAATCTCAAACCCGTGTCGGGTATGAAAACACTGCTCAACACAATTATAAATGTATTAAGTTGCAAAATTTCAACACATGTAATTTTATAATTATCAAATCTTTGATTCGTATAAATCAATTTATAAAGAAAATATATCCCGCTCTTGAAAAGATATGTGGTAGTCGCATGTCCAAGATATATTAAAGAGATATTGTCGGTATATTTGTGTTGGGCTTGGGTCATTAATATGATTTATTGATTTAGTTACGGGCTTGCAATAATCATTCGCAGTTGTATTTTGAATTTTTATGTTATTTTCTTATATAATTGTTTTGTTAATCATATTTTTTAAACACATACCGTCAATATAATACAATGTCAGTTTTTATGACCATAATTTTTAAAATAAACAGTCAGTTGTATCTCTATTTATTTTATATGACAATAATATCAACCAAAATTTTTATAATAGTACCCTAAAATTATTTATTATTTTATAAAAAATAAGTTTGAACTCAAAATATAAACTATTACAAATCAATACTTTAGATTATTGAATAGAATTCATAATTTCACCGGGTCTCTAAAATTTGTTATCTAACTAAAACGAATAAGAAAAATCAATTTTATACCACACATTAAATTGTATGTAATCGTATTTAATCTATATATGTTGGACCAAACCAAAATTATTAACGACAATCTATCTGAACCCGGATACTCATGTCTATACATACTTGTGAATAATCAAACAAGGGCATAAATTTAAAGCAAAAACGGTTGTCCCGCCCTCTTTAAGGGCGGGTCAAAATCTAGTAAATATTTAAACCCTAAACGACCTTTTCACAAATAATGTAGTGACTTTCCAAACAAATAAATAGATCAAATAATTGATTAAATTTCACACACAATCAACGTCTTTACGCCTATCCCAGCAACAAGTCACCATTACGTACAATTTTCAGAAACATCAGATAAGTGCCAATCAGATAAATACTAATAAAAAAATCTCAACACCATTTTAGAGACAGAGAATCAAAATTTAAAGTGCCAATATCAACAGAAACTACGTACTTAGAAGACATACGACATATTGCATAGCACATACAAAACACTAGTATGTATAATATATAAGCATGATTAGAACAGTTCATGGAGTATTTTTTTGCTAAATACGGCCACATAGTATTTTAAATTTTATAGAAATTATCTATAATAATGTTGATAAATTAATGGATGACTAACCTTTGACAATCAATATATATAGTACGATGTCGAAAGTTCATGTAATATTTTTAAATTTCTATTTTTATAGAAATTATCTAAATTGACGTCATTTTAATAAATTAACAGATGATTAACAGCTTTGACAGTTTATATATATGAACACGATTTTGATAGGTCATGTATTCCTTTTAAAATTTTATTTTTGTTCAGTGTATAACATACACTATTATAAAGTAAAGCACACGTTGAATAAAATATACTAGGATAAGACCTGCGTCTTGCGCAGGGTAATATACGTAATTAAAATATAAAATTTTATTATTGATAAATTTAAAATTTACATATAATTGTTTTTATATGTATTTGAAATTTTAGAATTTTGGAACTTTTAAATAATTATCTATATGTAGGATCAGAAACAATTGTAATTAGAACTATAGATCAAATCTTAGAATTTAATGAACCTGATTTCATATATCTTTTCACTTTTTAGTGTTCGAGTGATGGAAAATAATTGGGTTTGATTGGTAGAGTATTAGCAAATTTCCTAATGTTTTTTTTAAGAAGCAGTTGGTAAAATAATTGCATTTAAAATATATAAAGTTTCAAAACTAATTTAATATAATTTATTTATTTGTATAATAATATTAGAAAACTCTTTTTTTTACAAATTATTATTTTGTAAATAATTTTATAAAAAATTAAGTTAAATTTTAAATTATTTTTAAAAACAATATTTTAAGTTTTTCAAATACAAATAAAGAATTTAAAATTAATTATGGTCATGATTTAACATAACCATAATGATTTAAAAAAAAATAAAAAATAAAAACTTAACAAATTAAAAATTAACTCAGTTTTTTATCATGATTTAACAATTTAAAAATTAATTATGGTTATGAGAAGTTCACGTTCACGTGTTAATTCTATTTATCTTCAATTTTTTCTCTTGTTGTGTTTTTTTTTATTTTGGTTATTACTCGATATAAATATTGATTTTGAAGTTTATTCTCATTACGTTTATTTGTTTTGACCTGGGATTTAGAAAATACTTAAGATTTAAAATAATTAAAAAGATACATATTTAGGTTAAGATCTGCACTTTATGCACAATAAGTATTTTATATTTATAACTTATTTTTTAATATTCTGCATATCATAAAATAATAAAATAATAAATATATATATTACATAACTAAGAAATCAGTCACTATTATGTAATAAATTGACGTATACATATTAATTTAACTATCACTCTTCTTGTTTATTCGCAATTAGCGTAAATAAATCAAAGTAATCAATCTTATATATTATATATGATATATAATTAAATTTAAATGATATAAACATAGTAATATGACACACTTTTAATATTGATATTTATTAAATGAGGTTTCTACTCATATGATTTTATGATTATTTGCATATTTGTGTAACAAAACTTTACACCAACGATTTTTTTTAATGTGAGATGTTTAATAGTTTCAATAATTTATAATTATTTAAAAAAAAACAATGACATATTTCAAAATTAAAATATTAACATCTCAATATATGTTGAAGACAAATATCAAAATATAAGTATGTATTTTCATACGATTTATAGTTTAATTAAAACGATATGAAATATATATATATATATATATATATATATATATATATATATATATATATATATATATATATATATATAAACTAAAACTATTTATTCATATGGTCTTATAATCATTATATTTTAATATAGAAAAAAAATTAAACCTTGATCCTAAAAGTTTATGTGAGACTTTTAACAGTTTTAGTAATTTATACTCATTTTGAAAAAATTCGAAATACAACATACACAAAAAAAAAATCTAGCTTTTTATTATATGATCAATGTAATTGTGTAATTTATTTTAATAATAAATAAATAAACAAAATGAAAAAAAGTATACAGATTGTTATCAAATCTTTATTGTTTAAAATCATTAATTGTCATATATATCTTAATCACATTAGGTAATTTCGTAGGTTTTATTTAAGGAAAGCATGCGAAACAATAAATATTTGATATATGCGACCAACTATAGTCTACGAAATATTATATTGCTATAGAATATAATTTTTAGACTATACATTATATCACATGCTCTAGAATCCTTGGGATTTGAAATAGAGGTCAAAGAGCTATGCCACATAGGATTGATGTTATTTTTAATTCTTACAAACTTAAGGTTACAACTTTTTAAATGATTCTCAAATAATATATAGGGGATATAATATTTTTGAATTTTTGCTTAATTCAATATGAAATACACATCATTACAAAATTCAGGAAGAAAAAATATGACTGGAAAAATTCAGGTTCAATAGGCCCTTTTCCCCATACATACACAGATATATTATTACACATTCAAAACAAAACAAAAAACAGAATCAGGAAAAAGCCAATTAAGAAACGAGTGCTTCAATCTATCTACTTTGCCTCTCCTCAGCAGTCAAACTCCATCAACAGGTTCAAGTTTTGACGCTTAGTAAAACGGATACGATGTTGCCAATAACAGCAACCAAGAGGATGAAGCCTATGATCATGTTCATGATATAGATACAACGTGGACTCTTGCGATTTCTTCTGTCCAATGCTCCCTCTGTAATAAACCAGCCCTTCTCCTCTGTCTTCACCTTAGATGATAATGATAACTTCTTCTTGTCCATGGATGCTTCAACGCCTTTAGACTTACCTTCTTTCACCTGAAAAGGAAACAAAATAATGTAAGTAAAGAGACTATAAGATAAAAGCATGCACAAAATCAACATAGGAGCAGCTTAAGACCTCTAGTAATGATGGTATGCTGCGCCGAGATTTCCGGGTCTTTCTATTGGTAAAAGTTGCTGGAGGAGATTGTATATCTGTGAAAGAGTCTTTCCTCAAAGATGGAATCGCTTCTACACTAGTGTGGAATTGTCCACTCAAACTATAAAAGCTATCTGGACTTGATGTTTCTTGGTAACTCTGGTCATATTAGAATCAAAAGCTGAGTGAGTATAGAGATCAGCTCCATGAATGTAATGATAAAGAAAGCAAGTGATGTAATGTAGACTTTGTAGGACTGCGAAAATCCTAAAAGAAAACCCTTTAGTTTAATTTTAGGAAAGTTGTTTAATAAATGGTTCCAACAAACTTACCGTTGCAGATATGGATTCTGCATCGCTGTCACTGCTACAATCAACAATGATCCCTGTTAAAGCTTTCTTTGGCCTGTGATCGTTGCGGTGCTCTTGCATTGTAAGGTCTGGTTCGCGTAGTACATCATCATAATTCCCTCCGTTAAAACTCAGCAGTTCATTTATATATTCATCATCCCAGGGAGCTTGCGGCTGCTGGTAAGGGCAGCAGTTGTCGTTAAACAACGTGTCTGGATCGAATAAAGAGAGATCGTCCTGCTCGCTCAGTGGGATTGCCAAATCATCCACAGACATGTACATATCTTGCCTTGATTGCTCAACCTGAATACGTAAAAAAAAATGTTAATGATACTAATGAAAAGCTCATCAAACATGGTCAGAAACTGGATTCACCTCAGGAGCTGTGTTAATCTCTCTGACAGTATTCAAGCCAGAAACCATGGAGTGAGTTGACTCATTGTAGTTATTACCGTACAAACTGTCTCCGTCTTCGCCCTTGTACTTTACTTGGCAGATAACATAGTTCCTCTGTAACAAAATTCCAAAGGTATAAACATGAGTTCTATCACAAGCTTTCACAAAAGCAATATAAAAATAGGCCACAAGTAGATCAGAGACTTATGAATCAAACCCCCATATTCCTATCAAGAAGATCAAGACTACATCAGAAGCAAGAATAAAATGAATGTGAACTCCTATAAGGAAGTTTATATTATTCAATATTCACACACTCTTTAACGATGCTTATGACCCACTAATTCCTACCTAATCAACTAACACAAGGGAAGTCAAGTAGATCATAGACACATATGAATCAAACCCCAAATTCCAATCAAGAAAATAATGAAACATAAAACTTAACACAGAATCCCAAACTGAATCTTTCAGACTGTTACCTGATTAAGAGGCAAAGAAGTGATGTGATACTCGTGAATGACCCAAGGAGTCTTAACTCCATTACCCGCTTTACCTTGATGGTAAACAAGCGTCTTCTTGATCCCGATCTCAACACCGTGTCCTCTCTTATCTCTGATTTTCCGATCAACACCAGTAGCTTTCCAATACCCAGAAGATGTTGTCCTCTTCGTTCCCTTCTTCTTATCACTTGCGTAGCACTCCCTTCGACAGAAGAAGTACCATTCAAGATCGTTCGATTCCAGCTTCGATAACGCTGCAAACCAAAAATAAATAAATTAATTAATAACTACATAATTAGAAATGATCGATGATTTGATCTTTGAAGCTGAAAAAAGAGTGATGAAGTTACAAGGCAATAGCTCGGGTTTGTAAGCATAGATGTTGATCTCGCTAATGGCTTCGTCGACGAGCCATGGTTTATCGAGAATCTTGTTCTTGAGGTAATAGTTTACCAGTTCCTCTCCCGTAGGACTGAACCTATATCCAACGAGATTTTTCTCCATTTTTATACCCAATACACAGATCTATAAATTACAAAAACAAAACTAGGGTTTGAGAGAAGAATTGTTTCTTTCTCTCTGTTTTATTTTATGTTCCTCTGTTTTTGTTTTTTCGAAATACAAGTGGACTGATGTGGTATTTATATGCACACCTCGCTCTCGCTTCTTTGACATTAATAAAAGAAAACAGATTAATTTCTGTAATTTCTCAGAAAAACGTGGGCAACTTCCATTACCTTGCCGACATGTAGCTTTTTAATGGGTGTGTATGTGTCTTTTTCGATTTTATTCCTTTTAATTTTGTTTGCTTTTGTCCTACTAAATTATCTGTTTTTTCTTTATTAAAATTATCAGATTTATATAAAATTTATTTTTAAGAAAATATAAGATTTATTAGAGAAATAATGTGTTTTGCCAACTTTCAAAGTTTATTAGGAAAATTTCATTGCTAATTCTTTTTTAAGAACGTTGATGATTGGTTTAATTCTGGCTCTAAAATTTTAATTTTAAAAGTTTAGTTGTAGGGAATTTCTACCGAAAGATAATTATGATCAGTTAAAAAAGGCTTCTTTCGAATTCGCCCTAAAAATATTTTCTCTGGCACTCTTCCCTAGAAACGCCGTTTGGATAGATCTCTATAGCCCTAGCTCCGTCACTCCTTTCTCGGCTTGATGCAGCATTCCTCCTCCTCCTTGAAGATGATGGCGACAGCTTCTCCTCCTCGACAGCCCAGGCCTCTTCCCGATCCGCCGCCGAACAAAGACCATACAGTTGAAACTCTCTCTCCCGTCGATCCACCAGAACCTCCTGACCCACCAGACGTCTCCGTCAGCCTTGGTCTTCTTCCAATCCTTGTCACGTTCTCAAGCGAAACTCTCTCTCCCGTCGATCCACCAGAACCTCCTGACCCACCAGACGTCTCCGTCAGCCTTGGTCTTCTTCCAATCCTTGTCACGTTCTCAAGCTCTTCTCCACAAGCAACTCAAATCCTAGATCTGATGCTTATTTATTCAAGGATTTTGACTAAGCTCAGTGATGGTGCTACATCTATTATGTCCACCGGTAAGACTATCTTGTTTACTGATGTTTCTCTCATGTGGTATATAGGTCGTATCTTTTTCAGCTCGTGAATGGGTCTTCTCTCGGCTCTTATTCCAGCCTTCATTTTCTCCATCCGCTTATAGACTTCTAGCTTTCCTGTGGTATACATGTGAACCTTAGCTCTTTACTCTCTTTTTACTCCTCTTCTATTGAATGGGATGCAATGCTAGATGTGTGGGTGACACTGGATTTGTTGTTTCTGACTTTAAATGGTGATATACTGATGGACCCAGTGTCTTTTGGTTATATCTTTGAGCTTGTAATGGCTTCTCTGTCGCATTGTTGCAACTTTTCACTATAGTATATAGTCATATTCTTGTATTCAACCTGGTTTGTGGTGCATCATTTGTGTATTTCTCTTATTGGTGGCAGTTAAAAGAGAAAAGCATTGTGATTTGTGGCTTGGTGAATATGTTTATGGCGGGTTTTGATTTCCCGTTGGGCACCTGTGTGGAGCCATCTCTTTTCCCAGTATTGCCTCATGTATGAAGTGCATTGGGTGATCATGTGTGGTTGGTATTACAAGGATTTTCCTCTTGGCTAACACTTTTCCCTGCCTTTAGAGCAGTGGTTGTGACTCTTTGGGTTACACAAGATGCAATTTTTCAAGAAACTTATGAAACCGTTGCGATACGATTTTTAATGTTTAGTTGTTGTGATTTGCTGTTTCGTATTCCGTTTAGCTCTTTATAGCTTTGTTGTATCCTCCTTTGATGGAGCTTAAACTCTTCTAGGCTTAATACAAGTTGGTTTGATAAAAAAAGTTTAGTTGTAAGTTAATTGGTTGTAGCTGTAAAGTTGTTACAATGGATTTTTCCAGATTTTTTTACAGAAACTTTTGTTGTAGTTAAATTTGTCGTAGCGGCAAGTTATAACCTGTAGATATTTTAAATTTTTTTTTGTAAAAATTAAAATAAAATATTTGAAATATATATAAAAAATATTTTAATCATTTAAGTAGTTTATATTAATTTTTTTTTTATAAATTATCAAAATTTACTGTTATTAAACATGTGATATGTAAATAACATTTATGTTATTTAAAATATTTTA